TCAGCGTGATAACCACAAACAAGAAATTCCCGGATCCTCTAAAAAAGAAATGTATTATGGCAATCTAACCACTGCATGACATTATTTGTTAATTTGTTTTAAATTACCTCTTATACCAAAGCTTTCTAAAGAAATTGCAAAAGTACTCTTTAAACTCACATCTTGAGGCTGTTTTGGCTTTACTCTCTAGCATGGATAACAAAACAATCATCAGATCGACTCTTGTAACATAAACTGCTTAAGACAAATGTTATTAAGGGGAGCAGTGTTTTATTTAGCATTTGTTTTTTAAACAAAGAAAGAATGAGAAAGATGAATTTTGCCTTTAGATTCAAACTTACAGAGGCAAAAGTGTTTCATAAGAGGTTAATTGTGTCCTACTTGCTGGCTGAAACTAAAAAAAAAAAAAAAAGCTTATTATACACTTTGGTTGTATAATACCCTTATGTGTTTGATATTTATGCAACAAAAGTGGAAGTGGTTAAGACAATGCGTTGGAAAAGAAAGGCTCATGAAAGGCAAAACAGCAGTTCTGATTTGCTGAAGAAAACAACCACTTTGTTAATAAAAGAGGGCAGCGGTTATACCTGATGTTAGAATTTTCTGTGTGGCTTCTACTTGTTATGACTTAAACTATTACCTTCCAGTGAAGAAAATGCTCCATTTTCAGAAACTATTTATTCCCTTATTTCCTAAGCCAGTACAAGCTAGTCTTGTTTCAAGGCCTTCAGTGAGTTCTTAAAATTCATAAAGATTTGATGGAGTTACACATAAAAAGTAATTGAGTATATTAATATGCAACCTAAGCAAGCTTAATTACAGTTTTAAGTTGGGTGACAACATTCAGACCCTTAAACACGGAAAATCCTCACTGAGACTTAACTGTTTGCCCTGTTTTTAACGTATGTGGTCTAATTAAAAATAAATTAAGAATAACTCTAAAAAGCAAATAATTTGTTTAGTAATCACCAGCTCATAAAGTCCCTTTAACATTAAAGACTATGATTGCCTCACTTTTTAAAAAAGGAGAAGAAAACTAGATGCATGTCTGAGTCTCATGTGCCTGAGAGAACTTTTTTTTCTTTCAATTTTATGTTAATAATATTTTCTTTTACTCCATTGCCTTTTGAAGTCTAAGTTGAAGAGCATGCCAGGCGTTTTCATTTGTATAAACCATTATGAAGTTATGAGTAGGCTTTTAGTTTTCCTGCTGATAGTATTGTTATCAGTTGGCTTTCATATAGAAAGACGTTTTGAAATATACAGCAAATCTAGGGGGAAGGGGATTCAGGTGGGATGGAGGGCGGCTTTCTAGTTTCTTAACCAAATATGTATATGTTTACATATGCATATAATATTGAAAATGGTTATTTGCAAACTTGGAGGTCCTCTCTTCTGCATTATTTTAATGGAAATTACTTTTTTTATACTTTGGGTGAGTAACATGTATTCATTCTGTTGCTTTACCGCTTCCTCTGTCTAGCTAACCTTCCCTTCAAAAGGAGTAGAAAATATATACCAAAAGACATTGTAAAGACAATGAGTGAAAAAGGGTAAAGGGAAGGATGAATAGGCAGACGTATCAGGAAGTACTTGGAATGCCCCTTTGAAGTTATTTCTGTCATTGGAGAAGAGATGTGGGTCACAGCATCCCCGAGTCTGTTTTCTGACTCTTGTCTACTATCGACTGATACTTTCTGACCTTAGACAATCCACTTAACCTCTTTATATCTCATATTTCCCATCTGAGGAGAGGAGAAATAATACTGCCTATTCCCCAAGGGTGTTCTGAGGTTTAATTAATTAGTCTTTGTGCGATACTGACTGGAGACGTGCGAAGATTTGATTTAAGCAGTATATGAACCTGATATGCAAATGAGGTAGCAATAATGACTTCCAAGAAGATGGGCACCCAAAACAAAACAGAAAGTAACCACTACAAACCCTGTACTAGTATAACCAAATTTATTGTTATGGATAATAGACTAATTATTAGATTCGGTTATGGATATAGATACCATGCCTGCTTATTATAAAAAAAAAACCCAACACAATTGATTGTAATGAATGACACTAATGAAATCGGGCATTGATTTTGAGAAATCTTAGGCAAATGATAAAACTTTCTCCAGTCAGTCCCTTATAAGACCCCTTTGTAGGGAGAGGGTAGTGATGACTGATTCTCAGGTATTCACTTACTCCTGCTTAGGTTGAGAGGTAAAATGATCAGAGGAAGAGATGGCAGGAAACTGAGAGTTTCCTACTATTACTTTAGTGATTGTCAGCTTTACTCTTACCTTCCTAATCCAAGGTACAGAGGGCTAGCAAAGGGTCTTTCACCAAAAGGAAAACAGAGATGGCCAGAAATAGACCATGAAACAGACAAGCAAACAGAAATCTATACATTTCCTATAACATGATGGAAAATTGAAGCACAGACTTCCTCCTTCCCTGTTTCACCGCACCAATGTCATGTTCTCAAGAAATAATTAGATCATTCTGAGAAAACAGCAATAGCCAGAAGTAGAGCAGTGGCTTAATCCTATAGCCCAGAAAACATTTCTTGCCCTTCTCCATGCTTGGGTTAGTCTTAAACAACCAAAGACCACTTTATGGAGTGTACTGTGGCAACTGGAATGAAAGAGATCCATCATTTCTAGCTAGCGTAATTCAACTTTTCATTTCAATTTTCTCTCTCTTTTTATTTGTAATAATTGTCAGAATAATATCACCAGGAAAATAAGGTGAGGACTATTATAGATGTGAGGTACTTTCAGAAATACTAGTAATAAAAAATCTCTTACCTATCACTAGCTATGTCTAGTAATTGATCATCAACGCTAGAGCATATACCAAAATGGAGATGAACAAATATGGTTGGCCAACAGTTGTGTGAATGGAAGAGATAGCTTGACATTGGGGTATCTGGTGTAAGCTACTGAATTGAGTCCTAGAAATCTCCTTGAGGCAGCTTCTTCTTTATTATGGTAAGCTGCCCCCAATGTCTATCCCTATGCCTATGAGGATGTATTTATTTTCCCCTCCCATCATATTTCTTTTGCAGTAAGCTTAGGACTCCTAGATAAAGCTGTTGTCAAAAAAATAACAGTAAAGAGATTTGAGCTTCAGGCCATTATCCAGTGTTTTGTGCATTGAACATTTTGCTGTATCCTGTGTGAGAAATGAGAGACCAAATGAGAGACAGGTGATGATGCATGTGCACAGGGCACTGAAGAAATTGGTGGGAAAATAATGGAAATCTATTAGATCTATTTTGATTGCTCCTTTAGGATCTGGACAATTCTGTTATCAAGTCCAACAGATTCTGTTTCCATGCTCCAAATATGTTTATACAGTGTAGATCATTTTCACTATAGCAAAATTCTTTGGTCAGTTCTCCATACTGCAGTGTTTGAAGCTTCCAAAAAGGTGTTATTTATAAATTATTCTTGACTAATATGCCCTTAAGAGTTGCCCCATGAGCAGAATTCACTCTTGTATTCACTCTTTAGTTCCCTCTGAGCAGATGCATTTTATTTGCCTCTTTCATTTCATCCATTATTATACATTCAGAAGGCATTCCACATTATATATCAGGAATTCAAGGATAGCTAAGTATTGCATAGATTAAAAAAAAAAAAAAACATGAAATAGCGGTAGAGATAAGAGCCCAAACATCACAGTATGCCTCTATTCATATTAAATATAATAGAATAGAAACTTTAGTCATTTAAGAATAAACTCCTATTTAATAAACGGGCAAAAATAACAGAACATTCCAGCCATTTGTAAATAAACACAATCCAAGTGATTAGGTTAAGAATGAGTGGAGCATTGTTTTATTACTGACTTAAGTGGAGAAATATTCAAAAAGGACATATTTAATTCCATTAATAAGTTCCCCCAACCTTTCCATATGGAAAAGCAGAAGGAAATTATCTGGAGAAATAATAGCATAGAGTGCCTTAGCCTTAAAAAGCTGTTTGGGTTTTTCTGGGAAAGATCTAGCACTAGAGAGGTTTTTTTTTTTTTTTTTTTTTAAGTAGAGGTAGTTGGGAGGAAGATAAATTAGTTGCACTATTCTAGACTATGTTCTGTCATGATTTCATTCTGATAATTTTCTATTCAGAGAAGCACAAATGGTTCTTCAAGTGGGAATTCCAAGTAAGTTGAGCTGCTGATAGTCTTCAACACATTAACATACCTTGATATCAATTTAAGGAGTTTTATGTGTCTCTGTTTTTCATTAATACCCATCCCTTCTTTTATAACTCATTGATTTGGAATGACATTTTTCCCTTACCCCAGAAACAATGCCTACTTATTTCCCATATTTTAGGGAGAGATATAGTTGTGTGACCATAATCCACCCTCCCCGAAGTTAAAAGAGGTAGGAAGTTATCTGTCATGATGTTTATTAAACATCAAGTATAGATAGAATATTATGTATTATGAAGAATTCTAGGAAGTGAGGTGTTTGGTGAGTAAACTGTTCATATATATAAGTATGCAATGAATCCAAGTCTTTTAATTGAAATTTAATTTCAGTTAATTTAATTATCAGGCCCGATTTTTTTAAATTCAGTGTTCTAAGTTACCTCACTGAGTTTTTCTTTGCCATATATAATTCTTTTTGGTTGTCATTCTGTGACATTAGGTGACTATCTTCACCTAATTTGGGGGTTATTTTCTGTCAAATACAACTACATATCCACCAGGAAGACTGCAGTGCTTTGTACCATTGAACCGAGATTTCCCTTTCCTCACGATAATGAAATAGAGACTCAGTTATTCAGTTTATCTAGGAAATTCAGCTAGACAGTGGAAGAGATAAACATAATGAATTGTTACTTGCTAATATCTATTAAGTTTTTGTTATTCAGTTTTCTTCCCTTCAATTGCTCAAGGAAGGCTGTTTTGATATCTGGTCCATTCAGACCAGGTAAGGCAAAGAAGATAACATATGGGAATAATAATGTTTCCTTCACCCAACCCACTAGGACGGCAGTTAACCATCTTCAACACCCAGGCGCAAATAGCCATCGGTGGAAAAGACAAAGGACGTCTCTTCCAAGGCCAGCTCTCTGGGCTCTATTATGATGGTTTGAAAGTACTGAACATGGCAGCTGAGAACAACCCCAATATTAAAATCAATGGAAGTGTCCGGCTGGTGGGAGAAGTCCCGTCAATCTTAGGAACAACACAGACGACCTCCATGCCACCAGAAATGTCTACCACTGTCATGGAAACCACCACTACAATGGCTACTACTACAACCCGCAAAAATCGCTCTACAGCAAGCATACAGGTAAGCCTTTCTCCAACTATTAATTGATTCTGCCTGTTTATCTTTGAGATATTACTATAATGTCAGTGTTGCTATATTGCTAAAGCATCTATCTGAATTGCCATGTTTGTAGGAAGGATGCCTATAGATGCTTATAGTTATAAGACCTAGGAGTAGAGAAAGACAAAGTCATTGCTAAAGAAGTTATAAAAGTTTTACGTGCACTCATGGGTTATTATCCCTATCATATTTATTGCTGAAATGGTAAAGCTGTTACTCAAAATGAGCAATGGCTAACGCTTTCAGTATGAAATACTTCCTCCTTTCATTTCACTTCTTTTCTTTTCAATAGCAAAAAGGAATAAGAGGGAAAGGAAAATTTGTTATCCTAGGAAAGACTATATCCTACTTCAGTTTCATTCACATCTTCTTGATAGTTTTGCTGCAACTTGAACCATTCATTTGAGGCCAATGGGTTGCATTAAATCAAGGACAATTGAAGCTAGAGGTTCAACTAATCCTTATTGCAGTCTTTGTTTTCATTATTAAGTGTTGATCAATCACTTATTTTTTATCCATTTTGTTTCCTTTATATTTGACCAAGATCCTAATTACATTAGAAATTGTGACGGTTGGAGTTTAACTATAGAGTAAGTCCTCAGTTTTGTGGAAACACTTTTGTTTTTTCACTTAGAAGTAATTATATCCAAGCTAAAGCTTAATGCTTTGCTGACTCCCTTGGCATTTCATAAATCTAGTTAGTAGGGGATAGGAGGTTAATCGAGTTATTAGCCTTAAATGCTGTGGCATAAAATAAGACATTCCAATTGCTTGTGGGGAAATTACCCCTAGCCTAGTTAGTGTTTATAGACGATTCAGTAGATCAGTACTTGTCCTTTCTGTTTCTTAGTTTTAAGACATTATCCAGGGGCTCAATTGAGTTTTTGACATCACCCTTCCATTGACTTCAGTGGGCATTGTAAACACAAAGTCAATAATCAATTAAGCCCCCTATGTGTTCTCATTCTTCTGAATTAAGTTTATGTGAGTTAAGTAGAGGTAAAAGTGTTGTCTTCCTTTTCCTTTTTCTTTAAGCAGAAATATCCAGACAGTTCCTTACAGGATTCCACAGGAACAATTTGAAGCTATATGCACTGATGATGTTATCAGGCGAATTTTATGTGTTTTAGAAAGGCTAACTAAGAAGCTGGTTAACATAGCGGTCATATAGTGGTGTGTGCTATTGCATGTATACCTACGTACATGCTCAAAAAAGAAATAGCTTTTTCTCTACTGATATTAAAGCAATAACTCCTGACACTTCACTCTACTCACTGAAAAGAAGATACAAGGCAATATATATTTCCATTATGACTCTCTGTAGCTCAGGAGCAGACCTGTTTATGGTTGGTGAAAAGATAGTTCTGTCTGCACAGGCCCTGGCAGACTTGTTCTGTTTCTGTCGTAATACATTCCGGTAACTCTGTGGGAAGCAGAGGAACAAATGGCTTTTTCTTCATAGGAATGGCTGGCCCTACAGTCTTTTTCAAGACCAAATTTTTACTGACCTCAGGAGGATTTAAGATACATAGGGATATAGGGACTATTCCATGTAATTATCGGGTTTTGGCTTTCTCTCTCGGTAGCAAATATACAAATAGAAGAAGATTGAGTGAGTCTTTCAAAAACTAAGGAAGCCAGAGCTTCCAGAGAAGAGTAGGGTACAAGAACCTGTTGTCATTGTGGAGGATGTGCACAGCCAGAGGATGCTGTCTCTAATAGCTTCATGTCTGGTGTGTTTCTTTTCCTTTGAGTCCGGTGATAATTGGATTTCATCTACATGACTTTCCTTTTGCTTCTACAATGGCTGTAAAAATGACTTCTAAATCTATTGACATTATTTGTTTTGAAGGGTGTATAAATACAAACACTTAGAGGAAAGACAATGGGCTAGAAGAATTGGATTAAACTGGAATGAGGGATCAAAAAGCTCCATATTCTTTGTAAAGATTAGCTAGGGGAAATAATGTTATGCCAAGGATTTCAGACTTTTTGGTTCTTGCCAACTAGCCATAAGAACTTTGCCCTGACACTTGTTGTAATGAGCACTGGGTGTTACACGTAGGTGATGAATCACTAAATTACACTGTATTATTATCATTGTACTGTGTGTTAGGTAACTGCAATTTAAATGAAAACTGGAAACTACAAAAAAAATTAAAACAAGTAAGGACTTTGCTCTGGGTTACATAAAAATGCAACAGCCTGCCTTATCTCCAACCCTTTTCTGATCTCAAGTACAGATTACATCAGGCCTATGTTTGGACTGGGGACCCAAGATTTAGGACAATTCCCAGACTCTGAAGATTTTGGGTGAGGAAGGTCAGTCTCAGAAGTTCTAATATGCCCTATGTGATCCAGATAATTTTCTTGGGTGAAATAGACATAAAATTTTGATCTCTGGGAGAAAAAAGAAGTGGGAAAGACTGGATTTCATGTTTACCAGGCCGATCATGTGTGAAATCTTACAGCCTTTTCCAGATGATACTCTATTCTGTCTTCCTTTGCTTTGATAGCCTTGCTGGATCAGGGTTGTCCTAAAATTAGACTCCAGGAAAAACAAAATAAGCATCAAAACCTGGTGTAAAACCATCTGGTTATACAAAAATCTATTGGTTCCTTCCTTTTTTTAAGTTTATTGTGAGAGAGAAAGAGAGCAGATACATATGTGTGCATGAGTGGGAGAGGGCCGGACAGAGAGGGAGAGAGACTCCCAAGGAGGCTTCATGTTATCAATGTTGGACATGGGGCTTCATCCCATGAGCCATAAGATCATGACTTGAGCTAAAATCAAGAGTCAGACCCTTAAGCAATGGAGCCACCGAGGTGCCCCTCTACTGGTTCCTTCTTTAAACATAAGCTAAGAAAATATCATTTGAGCCATTTGTTTCTGATCAACTTTGATTTGTGTTGATTTCAGATCAAAGGAAAACTACAGTGCTTTCAGGGCTGCATTTACCTGTGTGTGAACACAAACAAATATCTTTAGAGTTGACATGGCACTCTAATGACCCAGCCTCCTGGAAGTAATCACTACTTAGATATTTCTTATACTCTCCTTTGTTACAGTACTGCTTATGGATCATATGGACTGTTTATGATCATATGGACTGGTGCTCAAGTATCAGGTCTTCACCCTTTATTAAGGAGAGTATCTCTAGGTCCTCCCCTAGAAACGAAAAGAAGTTAAGATTGAGAAAGCAAGTGGGTGGATTCAGAAGGCTCAACGTGTGAGCACATTGAGAAAGTGAATAGGTGGGTGATAGGACTTAAGTAGAGGTAGGTGATCAATAAATATGTTCTAGTTAACAATTGTCATGAAATAAATTTTCCTATAACTTAGGCTTAAAATAACAACTGTGTCATTGAATTTTACAATTTCCTCAGAAATTTGGGCAGGGCTCAACAAGACAATTCTTCAGATCTATGTGGAACTGACTTAGTTCACCCAGTGGCTGCTCTGGTCTGGGGAGTCTGGCTCCACTCACACACCTTGTGCCTTGGTGGGTTAACTGGAAACACTGGACTCAGCTGGATCCATGTCCCTCTCTATGTAGTTTCTAGGCCTTCTTTCACGGAGGTTCAGGGATCCTACAGGCAGTTTTTCCAAGAAAATTAACCTCACTTTTTGATGGGAGGACAGCAAGAATTTGTAACTAATATAAGTCTACCAAGGTGTAAAATTAGAGGGATGGAAGTATATTCCAGGATATTGCTTACACCATGGGATTGTTGTGAGGGTTAACTGAGTTAATATAAGTAAAATTCTTAAAACAGGTACATCTAGAAAAGTAAGATTAACTATGTTTTAACCTATTATTATACTCTGTCCCCAACACTTGGTATGTAAGTCAGTACCTTCTCAGGCAAGGATCTACCTCAGAAAACGGAGCTGCTTCCACTGACAGAAGCATCTGTAGTTCACAGTGGGGGCTAGGAGGCTTTGCAGGGATAGAGATTTGAAGGAGGGTCAGGGTAGAATTTGGAGGCTGGAATGAATCCTGGCAAATGAAAAGTTTTTAAGATCTCAGGAATGGACTTCTCTGGTAGCTCACTCCCCAGCTTTAATTTTTTCTTCCATTTTAAACCAACATGGGGTTCTCTGGGCCTCAAAGAATATGTTCTGTTATGAAATATATCCACACATATTGTTCAGGTTACACAGAAGAACCAGAAACATTGCCATCATGGAGTTTGACATTAGCAGTCAATATGAGGTAGTGACCTACAAATGGTAGTGGTGTGGGGGGAGGGAAGGGAATGTATGGGACGGCGTGGCTGGATGTCACAAATGAAGTAGGAATGGAGCTGGACCTTGTAGGATGAGTATAATTGAATACATAGTGGTAAGAAACAAATCTCAGGCTGGCGAAATATCAGAAGCTAAGTTGTCAAAATCAGGGATGATAATTCCTGAGAGTGAGAGCCAAGTCCGACTGGAACAAAGAGTGGATAGGGGAGATTTGTGAGAGGCGAGAGATCCAGATTCTGAGGGTCATGGCCCCAAACTCCCCCAAATGAAGGAGGACTAAGAGGAGAGAACTGTACTGGGTTCCCTGTTGGTCTTACTACCAGGGGCGCCCCGGCAGTTATGCAGGCATTTCTGTTACAACTGACCTCTGGGTCGGGGTTACTGTCATAACACTGACAGGTCAGCCTCTAAAATGGAAGAATTCAGGGGCACCTGGGTGGCTCAGTCGGTTGAATGTCCGACTTTGGCTCAGGTCATGATCTCACGGTTTGTGGGTTTGAGCCCCACGTTGGGCTCTGTGCTGACAGCTCAGAGCCTGGAGCCTGCTTTGGATTCCATGTGTGTCTCTCTCTCTGCTCCTCCCCTGCTCATGCTCTGTCTCTCTCTCTCTCTGTCTCTCTCTCTCTCAAAACTGAATAAACATTAAAAAAGTTATTTTTAATTAAAAAATGAAAAAATAAATGGAAGAGTTCAACTCAGTCTGTGTTCA